AAATTTACTGTGCCTTCTGAAAGTGTCCTAAGGAGTGGGACGGGACTGTAGCAGTTTATGTCTTCTGGATTATGGACTCTGCCAATCTTTTATCTTTTCAAATATATTTTCCCGTACAAGACCCTTTAAGGATGTCCAGAGTGAAAGCTGTTTCCAGTTATTTCATTGGTATTCCTTGGTTTCTACCTGGGGGTTTCATACGGTGTCAGAGCAAGTATGTTTGGATAACTTGTGGAATAGAGATATTGCAGAGGTAGACAGAGGGAATTATTGGATTACCAGGTATGTGGATATAGTGAGTATGTAGAGGCACTGCTGGAACCAGTCTACCACCAAACCTGGTCTTCTGCCAGGATTCCCATTTCCAGCAGTTGGCACCATCATCCATTTGATAGTACAATCCCCAAACCTGCATCCTCATGTTGCCTCTTCTCTCTCATCCACCATCTTCATCCCACCAAGAAGTCCTTCCTCTCTTTCCTTCTGGGTCTTCCCTCATGCCATTTCATCTCCATGGCTGCCTAGATTATTGTAATGGCCTCACTGAGTTGTCTTCCTGAATCCTCTCCTGACCTTATATCTGTTGTTCACTCTGAAGACCAGGTTATATTTTTAATACTAAATCTACTTTTGTCACCTTCTCTTCCTAGATCTTCTCAATGGCTTCTCATTGCTTGCAGAAGAATGATCAACATCACTGAAGAGGCCTGGAGCCCTGTGTGGCTTGCCCTGCCTCTGCTGCTTCCCCTTTCTCCCTCCTCGGCCCTGTCATGGGACATTCATCCCCTGTCTCTGCCCCTCCTTGACCTTGACTCCTGCTTTGTATCTCAGCTCAGTGAAGCCACACCTGAGTCCTTTGTGTTGTAGCCTTCATGGCGCTGTGCTCTTTTGTTGCAGAACACTGATTTTCACTTGCAGTTAGTTGTACAGTTAAATATTATTCCTGTGGGATCCCTATTAGTTTGTAAATCCCCCAGGGCATGATCTGGGGCCTTCTCGGCTCCCTGTGTCTGGCACACCTCGGTGTCTGGCACATGGAGACGCTTGGTGTGTGTATGTTGAGTGGATTGACTTGAGCACATAATAATGCAAATGGAAAATGAAATCATCCTCTGGAAAAATGGGAGATTTTATGTTAGAAGTACAGCTCTCATGGAAATAGCTAGTTTTCATAGCTGCGCCCAGTTCTGTTCATCATGGGTCCTTCTTACCATCAAACCTGATGTTCCCTCTCGTGTCTCTCTTTGGGCCCTACAGCTGCTGACTGCCACCACATAGTGGGATGAATGGGGCCCTAGTGAGGTCTGCTTTATGAGGGCAGAATTCTACTACAACTTCACCAGGGTTTGCTCAGACTCTTGAGGAGAGTCTCACATCTTTTGTTACCTCTGATCTTGCCTGTGTGTGACTAGGCACTTGTTCTTTTCTGTACATCTTTCAGAAAATCACCAGATAATTTTCATCACCTAGTAGCAGTTTGTCTATTGCTTTCCTCTTCGAAGCTTTACCTTTTCTTTGAGTTTCTCTCAAATTCTAGAAACTGCCCAACGGATAGCAGTTAAGTTTTCTCAGAGCTTCTGGGCACAAAGTGTAGACATATGTCATCCCTGGGAGTAACCAAGATGGTACCAACACCAGTGTCCCCAGGTCTGACTCTTAAGGAAGTGAGTTTCCTTCAGGCTTAAAATGAGATGTGTGCATATTAATGCAGCAGCATGCATCTACTCACAAGAGTGAAGAGAGAGACAAGGTAAATCACCAGGTTTCAAACCATCATGATTAGACTTGATATATTTCACAAAGTGTGTATCTCTCTCTCCACACATCATAAATATATTTCAAGGAAAATACTTGGTATTACAATAAGCAAGTCCTGTATCTTTTGCTGTCTTATCAAGACGAGTTATTTTGTTCCAGGGAAAACAAAACAAAATAAAACAAAACACAAAACCATCTTTTAATTAGTTTGTGTTTTTTTACTATTTAAAAAAGTAGGGCAGGGCAGCCCAAGTGACTCAGCGGTTTAGCACCGCCTTCAGCCCAGGGTGTGATCCTGGAGACCCTAGATCGAGTCCTGCATCGGGCTCCCTGCATGGAGCCTGCTTCTCCCTCTGCCTGTGTCTCTGCCTCTCTCTCTCTTTCTCTGTGTCTCATTTTATTCATTTATTTATGAATAAATAAATAAAATCTTAAAAAAAAAAGGTAGGGCAAAGGTATTTTAGTGTCAATTCGTTCATTCTGTAATTCTTTTTAAATAGTGATCAGTGGAACCCAAGATATCTTTCTTGTTTTTCCCTGAAATAACTACGTCACAAAGATGGTTTAGGTAAAGTCTAAAGCATAGCTAGATGCACACATACGTACATGCAGAGACATACTCTTCTGTTGTCCTTGCTTGGTCAGAAATTAAGTTGAGAAGTTGCCCTTTTGTTTCAGGTTAAGATTGTCATGTTATTCTCTGTGAAATAGAATGTTTACTTTGTACATTTTAGCATTTTAAAAATCAAAATTCTCTATTTTAAAAACTTGTCTTGTTTTATGATACTTATCAAAGGCCCAATCTGTGTTTTTTAACCTCATTTGAAAATTTTCTTTGAAGATAGGCTGTAACTGGAAACTAATGATTCACTCTGGGAGATTTGTCTATGTTCACATATCCTTAATAAGAACCAAAAGTTAAGGAACTCATGAGTTCAGCCACCCACTTTGAAGGAAAACAGTCTGTGAACTTACATAATTTGTGGGTGCTGAGTAAGTTGTCATTTTATATCTCTTGTGTTTTGCTTCTGTGCTCCTCAGTCCATGTCCAACAGTAAGTAGACTGTTCCAGAATCAACAAGTCATGGTTTCCATTGCCACAGTCTTTTTTTTTTAAAGATTTATTTATTTATTTATTTATTTATGATAGACACACACACAGAGAGAGAGAGAGGCAGAGACACAGGCAGAGGGAGAAGCAGGCTCCATGCCGGGAGCCCGATGCGGGACTCGATCCCGGGACTCCAGGATCGCACCCTGGGCCAAAGGCAGGTGCCAAACCGCTGAGCCACCCAGGGATCCCCGTCCATTGCCACAGTCTTGAAGGTGCATCAGGAAACTTCAGATTGCCTTTCAGAATAGGCAGTCAACTGCCTTTACCCTTGGTGTGACCTCTTGTGTTTGTTTAAAGTGGACTTCTGACATTCTGCGCCTCCAGTAGAAGACGTTTAAATAAATCTGGAAATTCCTGCAGAATAAAGCATTACATAGCTATTTAAAAAGTCATTTTGAGGGACGCCTGAGTGGCTCAGTGGTTAAAGCATCTGCCTTTGGCTCAGGGCCTGATCCCAGGGTCCTGGGATCGAGTCCCACATCTGGCTCCCTGCATGGAGCCTGCTTCTGCCTCTGCCTCTCTATCTCTCTGTGTCACTCCTGAATAAATAAATAAAAATCTTTAAGAAAAAAAAAAGTCATTTTGAGGAAAGATGCCTGATGACGTTGAAAAATATTTTTTTGACGTTGAAAAATATTTAAGGAAAATGCTAAACAGTGTTTATTCGTTAATCTGTGTCAGACACCTATATTAAAGCATTTACTCTTTAAAAATTTTATAGGATAAAAACCATTATTTTCCTAAGTTCACATAGTAGAAGTAAGTAACCACTAGCGTTACTGTCTCTGTCATGTATTATAATCTGTTTTTAATCTAACAAAACCATATGTCTAAGGTAATGATCTCAGTTTTCCTTTAAAAATTGTTCACATATGTACGTGTGTGTATCCAGCCCTATTGAGAAGCAGGGCCATAGGTGATTTCTGCGATATTTATTCTTTCCTGGTATTTTGCAGTTTTACTATAATGTAATGGATAACTTTTATAATAGGGGGAAAAAACAAGTAGATTTCTATAGCAGTAGATATATTTAAACAAAGTAGGAGGGGAAACGGATTTCAAAACAGAATAATTGTCCACCTTTCTCTGTTTATGTACCTTTATGTTTTTCATCACTGGGAGAAATTTAAGGACAGAGTGCTGTCAGTTATGCAGAGAATTGTTCTGTTTAGTTATTGGACACGTAGTTTTAAAGGTGATTAGCTTAAGGGCAGGGTAAATTTGATCTAAGGAAATAGTGAAGCTCAATTAAGAAGGTTTTTCTCCCCCATACATATATTTAGGGTGATATAACCAACCACTTAACTTTCTTTTCACTTGCTTGAGGGCTCCATTCCTTGCCTGAGGATCTCTGGACTTCATCTGTGTCTGTGCCTGGGTCCCTCTTGTCAGTCCTCCTCCCTGCATTGTTACCATCTGTTTTTTTTTCCTGATTAAAGTAGCTAAGAGCACTAAAATATTTCCTTTCCACAAGGGCTTTCCCCCCAAGCCCCAGTGGAGTGTGCTGCTCTTTCTCCCTCGCCTCCCTTGTCCACATCAATAATTTGTCCCTATAGCAAGCAGCTTGAGCAAGTCACTGCTGCACCTGCTTGCTTTCCTTTTTCTTCCGTCTGGAAAGTGAGTTCTGTTGGAGGCAGGGGATGCTCTTGCCTGTCCAACAGGCTATATACGCTGCCTGTACTTGGCTGGCAGACAGGGTGCTTTTCAGAGGTGAGTTATCACACAGTTTCCACCAAAGGCATAGTTGTGTAAGTCCATACTTAGACCAAAGAAGTCAAAGATCAGGGTAAAGGTCAAGAAAAACAATGCTGAGTTTATGGAAAAGCAAAGAAGACATTCCCCAAAGATTAAAAATCTGTTATCTAATGCTTTACTACCATAAGAGTAATCTAGGGAGGTGAACATCTTGATTATTGGAGAAAGAGTCTAATGAACTTTCAAGAAGGAAATTGAATACAAAAGAGTATACAAAAGAGTATACTGTTTTCATCTGTATTATGGATGAGTTGTACTCACACATTGTCATCTGCCACTTCTAGAGTAGCAATTTGGTTAAAGAAACTGGCCATTTCCTTTTAGCTCATTTGCCTGGAAAAGTATTTATTTTTTGTATCTGTCCTTCAAACAGCATCCTGGTGGGGAAGAAGTATTAAGGGAACAAGCTGGAGGGGATGCTACTGAAAATTTCGAGGACGTGGGGCACTCTACAGATGCCAGAGAATTGTCCAAAACATTCATTATTGGGGAACTTCATCCGGTGAGTATCTCACTGGGGGCCTTCTCTTTCAGGCTGTGGGTTGACCTTGCTCAAAACTGTAGACTTGCATATTAACATAGTTGAAGCAGAAGTAAAGCAAAAACAATTCCTCCTGATTTTATAGCAACATTCTTGTAATAAACAAATCAACCAGAAATTTCTTTGTATTTCCCTGGTTGCAGTTTTCACTGACACTCAGAGTAAGGACTCTGTAACCCAAGGCCATGGTAGGGGGACAGAGCCTCTCAGACTGTGAAGTGTCACCAAGCAACAGATTTTAGAAGAGGGGGTTCTTTAACCCAGGATAGTTTGGTTTTTTTTTTAATTTTTTGACTAAAATATTTTACTTAAAATCCCTTCTACTGTCATTAGTTTGAGGATATTTTAATTAAAAAAAACTGATTTAAAAAAAATTTTAAATCACTTCTGTTAAATGAACAGATAAATAAACTCTGCCTTCTGTAAAACCTACACATTCTCCTCACTCTTCTCATTTTACCCCAGATCGTTGAGAACATCACTTTTGGTGCCAGTCTCTAGACTAACTTTGGGAAAATGCTGGCCTAATTTAGCTTTTATATAAACCTGGGGCTGTAATGTGATTTAGGCCCTTCTGTGGCAATTCTGACTGACCATATAAACCTTTGCTAATCTGTCAATGGGAAGTTATCAGGAATGTAGCTGAACACTTGGGAAGAGGTAGTGGAGTGCTCCTCCACACAGTGAATCCTATGCCATGCATTCAGCTTTTCTCACCTCTAGAGAGCACCTGGGCCTCTCAGCAGGGTTGCACCATTTCAGTCTTCTGTCTGCCTCGCAGCTCCTGTTGCTTCACTGGGAGCAAGCCAGAGTGGGTAGCAATCCTGTTAGAAGTGGCCTAACAAGAATTAGCATAGGCATGTGGCCTCAGCTCAAGTAGGCACTCTGAGAAACCACTGAAAAACAAAAACTGTATGAAAAGTTTTGTTGGTTAATGGTTTTTACAATGACCATGAATGAAGGAAAGCTTAAAGTACACTTTTTATTGAAGGCCTGAAAATAGGAAACCTGTTTCAGAGCAATTTCCATTGAATGGTAGTGGGGTAGGTTGTTTGGTGGTAGGGAGGTGATACTCTGAAAGAATAAGCTTCACTTACCTGGAGAGTTTATTCACCCACCTATTTTCATCTTCCTCTTCATACTTAACTGAAGTGAAGTAGTTTTATGGTAACCAGGGAGGTAACCCTTAAAATGTTTGATTGTATCCTTATTCTTTCCTTTCCAAACCTGTGGGTGTAGAACATGTGGGTTTTCAGGCTGTGACTACAGCATTCTGCATCATCTCCCTACTGGGATCCCCTGTGGTCACCTTCAGGTGACCCTTAATTTGGACTACTTCAACCAGAGGTTTTAAGAAAATTACAACCCTGCAGTTGGGAGATTGCAGGAATTCACTCAGGATATCACACCCAAGTACACACATACAGCTATACACATATACATACACTCATTTTAGAGGATAGGAGGATCAGGATTTCAGCTGATCCCTGAATTAAAGTTCAAAATCCAAGTCTAATAAATGTGTATGCACATCAACATATACATATGATTATCGTGGATGATATTCTAAACTTTGGGACTCTAGATTGAAAATTAATCACTTAATCAGCTATTAATTTTTACAGTCAAGTCAGATGGATCAAACTTTGTGATTAACAACCTAGATAGATGAACCCAAAATATTAATTACTGAATATAATTAAAAAAAACTCAATGAAAGCAAGTGCTTTGGACATTGTACTTTTGGAAATGTTCTTTCATTATGTAATGTGCTTTTTTTTTTTTTAATTGCAGGATGACAGAGCAAAGATAAACAAGCCTTCGGTAAGTGTGTCATCTCAAGTGTCTCAGTGGCTGTGTCTGTCTTCACTGTATTTCATACCTGTCAAACTGGAGAACAGAAATCTTTTACCTATTTGAGGCCAGCAAGGTCCCTCTAGGTAAGATGAATATGTAACCTGTTGGCTCAGCAAAATACTTTGTAGATAGACCACCCATTGTGTTTCATTCAGACAGCTTGTGTGTTCTCTTTGTAAGACTCTCAATACATAATTTTTTCATCATAATTATTAGTAGATACCTTGTGAAGAGCTACTTGTATAAGTAGTACTGTGCTGCTAATCTCAAAGATTTGACACAGGCCTTATTTTCAGAGAACTTAAAATCTGATTGAACAGGGGTCTGAATACTTGAACCTTGGAGGACACTACCCATGTCGTCTTCATCCACTTGGGACATAATAGGTATTAAATAAGTATTTGTTGGATGAATGTAATGTTAATCAAACTAAATAATAATTTTTTGATGCATTTTTCATTAGGAAAGGAAAATATATTCTAGTAATGCTTATTTTATGCCCTGGCTCACTAGCCCTTCCCTCTGAGTTGGTCATCACTTATGTTTGAAGATAAATCCCTAGTAAGAATTGAGGACAACCAGTGCCCCTGAAAGTACAAGCAGACAGAATAGTTACTGGCCTATAATTAAAGGAGGAAAGTTTTGCTTAAGCCACAGAAAGGAAGGATAATTTTTCCATTTTGGTTTCTGCTCTTTTATTAGAGCCCAAAAGTGAGACTACATAGGGCTTGTAGGAAGAACTGGTGAACTCATTTACTAGCTGCTGTTGACAAGACATTGTCTTTAATCCACAGCAAAATCAAAGCAGTAAATCCAATAGCGCATAAAGGCCATGCTTACCTTCATACCTCAGTGCAATAAGTCTTGCGTAATACTATTTCCTACAAAGCAATTTCATTTCTATCTTCTCTTCTCCCTATTCAGAAAGTTCAGTGTTGGTGATTGGAGTACTTTGGGAAGATAAAAAATGGACTTCCAGAATTTGAATTGCCTCTGTAATAGTTGCTCAGTCTTTGATGTTGGTTCATAAGACATTAGCACCTTTTTTGAGGGTACTTTTGGGATAACTGAAATCCTGTGATGCATATAGTTTTTGCTTTTTCTCCACAGTCAGGGAAAAAGTATATATTTTTTCCTATTAGGTGTTTAGAATGTTAATAGTTTTGGTGCAAATCATTTAGTTATAAAATAAAGATTTTGTTAGGTTCATTACATTAACTATAGATTTAATAATGTAGGTCCAACCATATTTCGAATTTTGATACCTACAAACAGAAATTAGGGCTGAGATGGTAAGCAGGTCTCCTACCATACTGTTACGTTTCTGAAAGACAGACCCTTTCCTCTTTTAGAACATATATGACTTTGCTTATGTGAGCAGAAGTGGAAAAAGGCAGGACAAGAACTCAAACTTTCTTTCTTAGAGGCCGTAAGCAAATACAGTGAAAGAAAATACATGACCACTTTTTTGAATTTATCTTTCTTATGCTTCTTTGCCAGAAGATAGTGTCCTTAGATAATTTATTTTGTTGTATCTCTGTATAACCATCTGTCTATCTCCAGGCTGGTAAGTGTACTCTGTGGTCTGAATTTTTTAAATATTGCCACATAAAATATCTAGTTGAATTGTGAAATATGAAGCAACAAAGATTATTATGCCCAAAGGAAAACATGGTGTTTAATTGCCAAAGTAAGGTATTTGTAGACCAAGAAATGATGCATTTTTAAATAAATTTGTATCAGATTTGCTTACATGGAGGGTATCAGTATTATCAGTACTTTTTCTTGGTTGTGGTTTTCAAATCATTGCTGTTTAAGTGACTTTATTTGGTTCTTACGAAAACCCTGTGGGATCCATTGACCTTCCAGGGAAGGTGTAAAAACAGTGAAGTTCAGACCTTGTTACAGGTCACACTGCAGAGCCATGGCAGAGGACCCGTCTCATGTTTGGCAGATGTAGTCTCTTAAGCTTCTCCTGAAGGCTCTATACCCCAAAGGCATCAGTGTCCCTAGTATTTTTAGGAAAGCCTTCTAATTAGGGAATATGCTAAAGTAGATGAATGTATAAATGAGATTATTTTGATTTGCAGAAACTTGATGTACTTTGCATGATTTTATGTACAGCTTCTCATGTCCTGATGGAATTAGTAATCATTCCTCTGTGAAATTGAACCCTTCAAGGTCATGAAGTGAACAGGTGGCAGAGCCTGTAATAAAAACCATAGTCTTTTCTCTGCCAGTTGGTTTTTCACATATTTGTTAGTTAAACACAGAAACCCAACTTAGGCCCCTTAGACCACTGGACAGGCGAGACAGTTTCATTTTCCTTTTTCATCAGTGTGGTAAGTGGTTATTTAAACTTGCTTAACTCTCAGGCACTTTTAGGTTAAGAGCCTAACGTAATAAACACTCAGAAATGTATATAATTTTTTAAAGTACAACTCTTTAGAAGATCATGATTGCTGGTGGCAATGGTGCCCTAAGAGTTGTAGCATTAACACACAGGACAGTGCTGGAGGAGGAGGGACAGGCCAGCCTAGTTTCCCTAGAGTTGTCAGTATGTTTGTAAAATGCACGTGCTTGGTATAACAAAATAACAGATATGTGTTTGTGTTGTTTACTATTCCGGGCTTAACTTTCTATTGTAACAGTAATATTTTACCTTCAATGAACTGTTGTGCTCCAGTTGCTGAACTTATGTCTTCTATTAGCTGAATAATCATTTTGCATAGTCCAGTGACTTCTGGTAATCTTTGTTAATTTTATTCATATATACAAAATTAGAAAAATAATCTTGCAGTAGTTATGAATACTTTTTGTAGTCGCTAAGATTTAACATTGCTTGAAAAGATAATAAATGTGTGTTTTCTTTTTAAATGATTTATTCCCCCCCCTCCCCCACTGTGTCAGGAATCTTAAAGGCCATGTTTCCAGGTTTGTGGGTCTCCTAACTGATTTGCTTGCTCTTCCCTAACAGTTTTCTGCTTTTTCATGGGGTTTCTCTAATGTGCTGCCTCACTGTGTGTGTAGCTTTGCCTCATCGAGAGTGGATTGTTTTGCTAACGGCTTATCCTGTGCTTTGGGAAACTGCAGAGATAAGCTCTCTGATGGAGCTACCTTACTTACTGCTATCTCTGAGGCACTAATACTTTTGCGGGTGTGAAATTTCAAAGAATGCTTAAGTTTTCAATCCCAGAAAAGTTTATTTTTCCTTAGGCCTTCATCATTCAGCTGTTTGGGGAACTATGTATTTTTCTAGAGCCAAAATTAGTTCATTTTCATGGTACTGGCAGAACTTCTCTCAAAGTTCTGGAAGGCATAATAGGCCAACTGTGAAAGACCCCAGCACAGGCACAGGGCATCTTTATTTGGAGGTTTCTTGGCTGGTGACTGTGTGAGGTCAGTCCCTGAAGCCTCCACGTTTTAGAACTTCTTGTCAGAGTTAGAAAAGGCCAGGAAAGGTGTTGAACCAGAGTGTGATAATTTTCATGAGTTCTTATTTTTCTTTTTTTGATTGTCATGTCTTTTTAACACAATTTGGATACACTTTTACTTCATATAAAATTTAAATGAAATAACTGATTTTATTGAATGTTTCATTCATCCTTTTAGAGAATCAGACTTTTCTTCCGAAAGGTAGTGTTGGGGTTATGAGTCTATGTACATGATCTTTGTCTTCAGTTTCTACATTATTCAGATGTGTACTGTGTTGAGGATATTTTATGTAGCCTGTTTTTAACTTTTTTCAAATTATCTAGGTTATGTTTGTAAGTGATTTAAATACAGAATTCTTAAATTTTTTTTCTGAAAAAATGGTGAAATTAGACATTTTAGTGAAAAGTTTATGATGTAATTTTCCCTTTCAATGTGTTTTGAAGAATAGTGAAAAAAAATATTGTGGTCTTATTTTAAAATGCTCTTAGTCAATTGAATAAATGTGCAGATGTTCCCTTTAAATTTACTTTTTTTCTTGTATTTCAGGAAACTCTCATTACTACTGTTGATTCTAATTCCAGGTATGTGGTAGTTTTCACTTAAAGTAACTATGATCAGAAAGCCCGCTGAATCAGGGAGGGATTAGGGCCCCTCCCCCATCTGACCCATCTGAGGCTCAGGCTTCCACTGCCCCCCTCAGTGGACATCCCAGGGACATCTCCACTTGGTGCCCAGGTGACTCAGGACGCCCCCTCCTCAACTGTCAGCTCAGACTCTGGACACTCTTCAGAACAACCCCAAATCTCGCCCTCCAGCTGCATCCACCCTATAGAATATACAGAATAAATTGGGTCTCCCTTTCTCCAGGGTAGTCCTGTGGCCTGCACAATCTTTGATTGTCTAGGCAAACATCCTTTCTATTCAGTATATGATCCATTTCTTATATTGTAGTGATCGTCTCTTCCTAAGCATGGCTCAGTGTTCCTCTAGGTGTAACATGAATCTTTCATTCTGAGACTGGATTTCTGCGTTACAGTCCAAGATCTATTACATTTGTGTCAGCTCTACCATATTGACTTGTATAATTGGCATTTATCTGTCTAGTAGATAAAGATACTTGGCCCCAAGCTCAAAACCACACGTTTATGCCTGTTTTATTTTACCCTGTCAAATATAACTGCCCAGTCTCTTGGTGTTCTGGTACATTCCCTGCCTTCAGGCAGTAGTACTTTGCCGTATGTTTCATTGACAGGTCAGTTTTCTGACCTGTCAGAACCTCACCAAGATGAAAGTTACATTTGCAGTTTAAATCTTTTTATTGAACTTAATTTTTGTATGAGTTGATATGTGAAGAGTATTAAAAGATAGAAAGTTTATGACAGAACATAATTGTCTTTATAGGTATTACCTGGTCTAATTCATATTCTATAACCTGTATATTTTGTTTTCTAAGAAATTATAGATTCATAGCTAAATTGAAGATATTCTAGCTTTGTCCCTGGTTTGATCTGTGATCTGTCATTTACAGTGAATTAAAAAACTATGCCCCAGGCCTGAAACAGTGTCCAAATTAGGCATTTTTCTGAGTTTATACCTTTGAGCCACAGATTAAGTAGTTTGGGCATGCTCTTGATTTGTTAAATCTACTGTGCATGTGTAACAATTAGAGTTTCAAAACAGAATCATGGAACATAGAGCTGTGGTGCTCATAGCAACCTTAATAATCCTGTGGCTCAAATTCCTTAACTTCATAGTCTCTGAGATGTGCTTTTCTCTTGGTTATAGAGCCTGCTGATGGCTGTCCCAAAATAAGAACCTTGATTTCCTTGTTCTCAGTTTAGTGCTATTTTAAATTCTTAATGTCTGTAAATAGAATAGAAACTGTAAGGAATATTTGCTTTTGTGAACTTATGATACGTTGTAACCCAGAGTTTATGTCCTTAGATAAGTCACTATTCATAGGTAGCATCTGTTGGGGGAGTGATTCATAGCTCTTTGTATAAGTCTATTTATAGAAATAGATTTACGTGGCTTGAGGTTGGGGGTCATTAATTTTCTTATAAAGCTAGAACAGTTGCTGGTATAGTAGAGCATGTGTTGCACTCACGTCGCTTTCAACAACTCAGAGTTGACTTTTCATCTAGGTAGATTACAAAGATAATAAAAACCTGCCATGTTGATTTTCGGTAATTAGAAGTAGCCAAGGTTTTGAGTCCTGTGTGTCAAACAGCCGTACAAACATCATTGCTGTTTCTTTCCAGCTGGTGGACCAACTGGGTGATCCCAGCCATCTCAGCACTGGTGGTAGCCCTGATGTATCACTTCTACACAGCGGAAGATTAAACACATTCTCAGAAGCCAATGAAAGAAAAGACTGCTTTGGACCGGGGAGAAAGAAGCCAGTGTTAACTGCTTCAACTGACAGAAACTTTCCCCCCCAAAATAATTTTAATACACCAGTTTCCCTTTCTCCTACTTTGAATCAAACCAAAAGAGAACTCTTCTGTTCTTTCTACTCCTGAACTCTTAGAATGTGCCTTTTGTTCATCAACTTTTTTTGATGTTCCATCACTACGTAATTTACTTATTATAGGCGTGATATTTTAAAAATATATCCGGCTTTTAAAATACACCACCCTGTTTGCCCGTCTATTTAGCATATAATTGTCCTAAACATTTAGAATCTGATTATTTAGCAGAGTCATTTAGTTTGCTAATCATTCAGACCCAGGTAGTCTATATGACGTGAGGAGGGGAATGTCCTTAGATCCCTCCTTCATATCTCCCTGAGCAATTCAGTACCTGCCTGCCCCAGCATAGTTTCCTTTCCCAGAGAATTAAGAAAAGCTCAGAAATGAAAGATTTCTAATTGTTCTACGTGAAATAGATGACAAAAAGAGAAGGTGGCCTGTAGTACCTATGAAAAAGATCTCATCTCTTTTTTGATTAAAAAAATATAGTCAAAAGAAAACCTCACAACTGTGAGAGGACATTTTAGCTGTCCCTTCTCACAGACTAAAGATTAACCGAAGAGATGCTTAAAGTCTAAAAAAATTCCTCATTCAGAGGCAAAAACTGTTTATATACTCATTAAGGAAATGTTGATTTCCTATTTTGCAAAAACAAAATTTGAGAGAGATAACGGGACATTTGGAATCTGATTTTTGAAGAAATTTAGCTGGTAATGAACCATGAGGAATTCTAGTATGACTCTGCTCATTTTTTCTTTGGAGTTCCAGTAGGCTAATTCTGTCATTTTTGTTTGTTATTCTCTGCCCCATGCTTTTTTTTCTTCTAAATGTGGAAACTTAAAGGATGAATTAGATTCTAAGTACTTTGCAGTTAATGTATGACTATGCAAGTTTCCATTGGCCTTCTAACCACCTGATAAGCAATAGAGTTCTTCAGAAATAACTAAAACACATTGGAAAGGAATTTTTAAATTACAGAGTATTGTTTAAAAAGAGGCAACAAACTCAAAATTGAGTCACTTGTGCTAAGCCCATGTCACCAAACCAAGACTGATTGCAGTTTCAGTCTCTCCCAAGAGTGGAATCTTAAGTCAGTCAGTCTCGGATGATCTGGTCAGCACTAGTGGAATAATCCCCAGGAGACACCCTCCCCAACCCATGACCCCTCAAAGGAAGGTGATTTTGCCTGTAACAATCAGCTCTGCTAAAATAATTTCCTTGTCCCGCCTCTTTCTGCCCATAGAAGTTTTCCATTTTGTACAGCTCTTTGGAACTTCTTTCTCTTTGCCGGATAGGATATTGCCCGATCTATGAATTGTTGAATAAAACTGATAAGATCTTTAAATTTTATTCAGATGAATTTTGGACTTTAACAGATTGGGTGGCAGTGATGAGATCTGAAGGAAGCTTCTGACGGCCTTGGGGGGTAACGAGAAACACAGGCATGGTACCCCACGAACTGCATTCTCTGTGTTTCTCATCATTTCCAAGGGCCATGGGCAAGTTCCTCTCAGCTCTGAGCTCTGCCTTCTTTGTGTCAAGCTCCTGACCTAATTGGCTTTACAAGGGCTCATTTGATTTCAGTCCCTGAACTGTTGGCAGTCCAGTCTGCAGTTTTCCATCTGATCAGAATCCTTAGTTGTTGGTTAAGTCTCCAATTCCATGTTGCCCCTGGTTTAGTCCACGGTTCTCCATTTGTTTGGTTTAGTCCTGTCCCCAGTCCCATGCTGGGAATTGCTGGTGGTTGCCAACTGGGGTCAAACTGGGTGTGACTTAAGCTGGCCTGGATCCAGCGTGTTTTGTGTAGTTAAAGGCTATTGTTACTGGGAGTCTTGGAAGCCAAAAGCTGCTTGATTGTTGAGTATAGGTTGAACATTTAAAAGCTGTTAGAATGCTTGCCACCCAACTTTATCCATAAGTTGGTCACACAACAGGTCAGATTGACATTAGGTCACCCGCCAACCACAAGAAAGTCTCCATGCAGTAAGGTACACTGTAAAACCCACACAATCTGCAATCCACGGACACATCCCCTTAGGTATTAGTTTGGCTCCAAAAGACACAAAGCCTTAGCTCAGAGTTGAGCACGCCACCTTTTGATACAACTGCTTATTTGATGTCTAAGAACTGCGGTCCCGGAAGCTGTAGATATTTACAACAAAGTTTTACTAAATAGGATCTGGAATTATAATGGCCATTATGAAGAACATTCCCAGTAGACAAGATCTGAAAACAAGGGCTCACAAACCAAACAGAATGGGTTACTTCAGGTTATGGGATATCCTCCTCAGATGTCTTAAACTTCTTGGTCAAAGGGTGAACTAAGAGGCCATAGTCGAAGAATTTCCTATACCCAGGAAGGATCCCCAAAAGTTTCCTGAAGAATTTAGAGTCATTATCAGGGCCAGTGAGCACAGGCTTCCAGATCTCTGTGAGCTTAGGCACATGCTGGTCAGCGCTGAGGAAGCCCAAAAATGGATGCAGGAAGCAGATTGGCATAAACCCGAAGATATTTAGGAAGCAGATTGGTGTAAACCTGAAGATATTAAGGATCCTCGCTCTTAAACACACTTACCTCATGGACCAGAAAAAGTTTATAAAATGGTGATTGACCTTTTAAAAGCCATTCTCAGAAGGAATTTTCCCTGCCTGCCTTGTTTGGTTTATTATTCAAAGAAAAAAGATGAATCTGTGGCAGACTTTAAAGCCTGTCTGGAAGCACTCTTCCTATGGCATTCCCATTACATACTATAAACAAGGTCACCCAACATGCTCTGTTGCCCTATTTGTAAATGGATCTGTTCTTGAGACTAGGAAACTGATTAAAAATAATAATAAACAGGGTGGAACTGAGCTCCCATCAGTCTGACAGAACTTATGACTGCAGCTGAGTATTTTGAATGGGACTTGGAAACAAGACCGTCAGCAAAGTTGGTCAAGTTAGTGGCCTTATGGATCCCTCATCTACTCTCAAAAGAGAGTTCCCATATGGGTCCCCCCAGAGTTGACAGGACTCTGGGAGATTTTTTTGGTAAATGGCTGTTATTCCCTTAAACAGCCAAGGAAAACTGAAAATGAACGGAAAACCTTGCCAGATTCTGGTGGATAACTGAAGCTACACTCTAAGACCACTTGGATCCTGTGGATGAGGTCTTGGGAAAACTGGCAGAGGCTGGCTAAGGGTGAGGGTCCTTACCAGAGTCAGCTGTCCTGGATCTCTGTCTGCAGTACCTAGTTGAGAGGGGAAAATAAAGTCCTTGAGTTGTCTTTCCAAGTCCAACCCACTGGTTATTGACTCCCTCTCCTTCTCTCTCTCTCCCCCAGTGATAGGTCTTCCCTTCTCCCTTGCCTCATTTTGCGTCCTAAGAACCTACCTGGCTTTGCTTTCAACCTGCCTTGGACACAACAGTTGTCATTTCTTCCTTTGGGCTGTCTTTGGGAGTGACTCTCTGGATCTAGGGAAGATAGTCATCTTTTCATGCTTTTTGGGGGGACCCCTCTTACATCTGAGAGGGGATGTTCAATACTGCCAAAAATACTTATTGTTTGTCCTAGCTGAAAACTAATAAAATTTAAAGGATTTTTGTAAAGTACCTCTGTGGTCAAAAGATGGCCAAACTGGAAGCTGATACTCAGTGTCTGATAGAATTTTATTTTAGGCCTTCTCCCCTAAGCTAAAATAAAACTATGCATCCAGAAAGAAAGAAAAACCTTCTGAAGGCTTTGTAAAAGATTTACTAAAACATCCCAAAGACAAACAGGTCTAAATACAGAACATAAACATCTTTGATTTTCATCTTAGTTGGAAATCCTCTTCCTGATATGAAACAAATTGAAGATAGTGTGGTTAGATGGACACATCAACCCTTCAGTAGAATTAGGCAGTAATCCAATTCTTAGAGGAATTAAGTCAACTGTCCTTATCTTACAAATCTTAGTAAAACTAGAAATGCAGCTCTGGGAACAATTCAAAGTTCATCTATTGTTACCAGTCCTGAAACTGCTTTGATTGCTCTCAAAAGGCTTGTAAGTATTGTAAAAATTTCTGACCTTAAGAAACAAAGTTTCTTCTGGGAGGAACCTGCTTTTTTTTTTCCCCCTGTGCCTTTGGGATGTAAATGTTCTAACGGGTCTTCTGACAATCCTAATTAGGCCATGTCTTTGAAATACAAACTTCAGGGAGGTAATTCTTACCGGAAGAAAAGCAAAAGGGGGGGAGGGAAGGTGATTGGAAACGTAGGCAAATGAATAAGTGTCTTCTCTATAAAGAGCTTTAGTCTCCTGAACACATAACCTTTACTTTTTCATCTTCCAGACACGCGATTTGGATCCATCTAGTGAGTTCTGCATTATTCTACCTATCTCATGGCTAAAGTCTTAAAACAAAAGCTATTAGGTCTCTGTTTTCTTCTGTCTATATGTATACATATGTTTATATATACACGTATTGTACATGTGTGGTATTTTCCACCTCCAGATGATCTTGCCAAAATTAATTTGTAAAAGAGCTCTATTCAATTGACATAAAGAAAATTAGATGGTTAGATGAATAAAGTATTTATAAAATTCTCAAAAATAGACCTAAATGCTTTTTGAGATCATGTGATCTAGGAAAACACTCAGTATTAAAGCTGATTAAAATTAATTAGTTTAATTGAAATAGACATGTCTGTAGAATTATCAATGTTAAAATAACACACACGTTTTTTCTTCTATCTGGATTTATTAATCAAGTAAGTTCATGTTATCTCAGTTTATAAAAATCTGGCATCAGGAAAAATGACTGGGTATGATATTTAAATTTTCATAAGTAAACATAATTGTTGAGAGAACAAGTGAACCAAATAGAACTAAATAGAATAAGTGTTAAGTGGGTCAGAAGTTTTTAGTTGAACTTTTTAAATAGTTTCCCCAAATCTTTTTGGTAACCTGAAACCTTGAAGTTTTGTTAAGTTAAATTAGTCATTGAATGCCTAGATCATTACTTAAATAAAATATTGAAATTAATTTACTGAATATGGATACCCTTTTCTACTTTTTGGCTTCTAAAGACAACTAAAGCTATTTGAATCTATGAGTAAATATGTTTTGTGCCACAGTGAAAAAGCATGTGTTTCTAGAAAATATAAAATGTATTTATGAATTTGCCAAGCCAGAGCAGGCTAAAGTAAAAGCTCACAATTGTTAACTTCCTGGTTTTCATCAGAAATTAAGGTTTTTTTAAGCATTAAAAATTGTAATGTATGTAAGGTACTAGAAATAATAAGGGACGATGTATTTCTGTATGCAAGGAAAGGAAGATGTGTGCTTTTGGTAAGAGATGATGTGAGGAATGAAGATCCACTTTTGTTGAGGGAAAAGAGTGATTTTGCACTTAAGTGAGTGGTTATTTTCAGAATGGGAAACAGGAAAAATAAGACAAAATTTGAGGGGATATTTAAAAAGTCGAAATTTGTGGAAAAGAAACCTTTACAAAAGGTATGCGTGGTCAAGCTGGCTAAGATTGGAACAAAGTTAAGATTTTTTTTTAAATGAATGAATTTAATGTCAAAAGTAATCTGCTAGGGCACCTGGGTGATTCAGTCAGTTGAGCATCCAATGGCTCAGGTTATGGTCTCAGGGTTGTGAAATCCACTCCTGCATTGGGATCCATGCTTAGCATGGAGTCTATTTGAGATTCTCCCTCCATCTCTCAAAATAAATAGATAAATCTTTTAAAAAAAGATTTTCTTCCTCTGCCTCTCCTCCTGCCATGCATGCATGATCTCTGAAAACAAAACAAAAAAACATAATCTGCAAAATTGGAATTGGGTGTTCTGTTAAAAGGGCAAAGTGTTCTTGAACTTTTGGTCTGCTTTTGATAGGTTGTAAAAGGATTTTACTTTTTAAGTAATCTAGAAAACAAAGATTATATGGTTTATCAAAATAATTTACTGTGTTCCATGATAGGTTTATCAGGTCTTTGATTACTAAAGAAAACGGAGTCTTCTCTGTTGAAAAAACTAAGGTTTTTTACATAACTATTTAACTTTTTGTATTTGCCTGAAGTCTTTGTCATTATGATTGAATGGATAACTAAGTATTGTTTCACAGTGGCCCATAATCCTATTTGACCAAGTGTTTTATTTATTTATTTTAAAAGATTTTATTTATTTATGAGAGATAAAGAGAGGCAGAGACATAGGCAGAGGGAGAAGCAGACTCCCCACAGGACTCAATACCAGGACTCTGGGATCATGCCCTGAGCTGAAGGCAGGTCTCCACTGCTGAGCCACCCAGGTGTCCCTTGACCAAGTGTTTTAAAACCTTTTGATAATTTTGATAAACTTTCCCCAAACCAGATTCTAATT